GTATGATTTGAGCATTCTGTTGGGTCACCTTCCTTTGGAATGGCACAAATTTGAACCTCTATCAATTAGTTGGCCAAGTAGCTGTCTTCCAAATATGCTGGCATAGACGAGTGGGTGATTCTAGTGCTTCATCCACGGGCTGAAACATTTCTGTGGGTTTTCCATCAATTCTGGAGCCCTGTTTTTGGATCCTGCTTTCAGTGCAGTGTGAACTTCTTCCTTCAGCATCGTTGGTTCTTGCTTAGATGCTACCTCCTGTGAGTCATCAGGATCACATAAAAACCAGAGTTTTATGAACCCCCAATAAAATGATTAACAACAACAACAACAAAAACCCAGGGGAGTAAATGTCTGAATGAGTAGGGCCCTGCATGGGAGTGTCCCTTCACTGGGTGCAGCATGTTTGTGTCTCACTTCCCCATTGGCCTGGAGCACTGTGTGAGCATTAATGCTGTTGTCCCAGGCTGTGCAGTAATAACTAGCCTCGTCCTCAGGCTGGAGCCCAGAGATGGTCAGGAAGGCCGAGTTCCCTGACCTGGAGCCTGCGAAACGGGCTGGCACTCCAGAGGGTCTCTTATCAGAGTCATAGATAAGGAGTTTGGGGGAAGCACCAGGGAGCTGCTGGAACCAGTCTGGATATCCACGTCCAACATTACTGCTTCCTCCAGTGCAAGAGATGGTAACTGTCTTCCCCACGGACTCAGACATTGCAGATGGCTGGGTCAGCACAGACTGGGCCCAGGACCCTGAAAGGCAAGAGAGACACTCCGTGAAAGAGGTGGGGTTAGTGAGCAAGGACACAGTTGGCCCCCCATATCCCATCATTCCCAGCTCTGATGTCCAGCCTGAAGCCACCTGTGCAGTGAATGAGGAGAGGGAAAAACAAGGAAACCCAGGCCATGGTGGAGATCCCACACGCTTTGAACCCTGAGGCTCTGAGCAGGGTCTGGAACCCTCAAGGCCTTTTTATCCCCTGAGCAACTGAAGTGAGGGAGGGACCTTCATGCAAATAGCCTCCTTACCTGGCATGTTGAAGCCCCATGCATCTAAACCAAGCTAGACAGTGATTTCAGGGCGGGTCCTGGGCTGTGAGGCCCTGGGCACTGTGATGTCACAACTGTGGGCCCCACTGAACACCAAGCAGAGGCAGGTGGCTGATAACAAGCCTGGATCACAGCATTGACCCTCAGGAACAGACCACAGCGCCCTCTGCTGCTGGAGGCCGAGACCCAGCAAGAAGAAGAGGAAGAGCTGCTCTATGAGTCATTTGATTGTTTCCTGAATGTCCTGCTGGGCCGTGGCCATGCGGTCATGCATGTGAGTCTCATTTCA